TTAACATTAACAGTATTTGACTGTACTTCATATGAGTTAGCTCTTTAATGACAAAATATCAAGATTTTCTTTTTCTATTTAGGCTTATTTTTTTTAAATTTTTTACAAAACATTTTTAGTTCTTTTTTTCATATTTTGAAAATCTCCCCCTTCTCATTCATCTTAAATATTAATATTTTGCTTAAAACAGTCAGAACTCACCCCCAAAGCTAGTCCGTTATTTTTGAGCCCATTAGAGCTAGCCTTTTTAAACATATTTGACTCTTAGTGTGCCCAAAACTCAAGCTCCTCCATTTAAAAATTAAAAAAATTAAGTACTTTAATGTAAATGAATTTTAAATTTTAATTTCATATAGTATGTTAGGGCTTAAATGAAATTTCTCCATTCCATGAGACTTTATTAAAATTAAGTATCTTCTATATGAAACTATAGTGACTTTGGAGCTAATCACAAATGATTTTTGAGACACATGGAACTCATCATGGATGTCAAATAGATGAGATGGTAGTGCTATCCTGTATGCAAGCAGTCCAATTTTTTCCAAGATTTCAAATGGACCAATAAATTTGAGGGACAAATTCTTGGCTCAAATTAACCTCCCAACCCCAATCATCAATGTAACCCTAAAAAATACATAGTCCCTAACCATAAACTCCAACAATCTGCTTCTCATATCCATGTAACTTTTTTTTGTCTACTATGAGCCGTTAGTAGCTTCTATCTAATCAACTCTATTTTTTAAGTAGAACCGGGAATTCAGGCGGGTTGGGCTTATTTGAATTAGGCTTAAAGTATCATATCTTTTTAAAAAAATCATATAGTCAGCTCAGCTCTAACCTTTTTTTGGCGAGTTGGGGGCTAGCTCATCAGGCTTAGCAAAATTATCAACTCTACATACATATAGAGTTGAAATTTTCAATAGTTGTGCTTATTCAAATAGGTTTAAAGTATCATATCCTCTTAAAAAAGCCCATATACCAAGCCCAACCCTAACTTTTTTTCAGACGAATTCGAGCTGGCCTAAATTACAAAACTCTATTTTTAAGTAGTTTGATCTACAAAATCCAATCTCAAGAAACTCCTCTCACTCAACTCTATCCAATAAAGCAAAGATCTACATTTCCTCCCATATAATACCTTATAAGGCACCATCTAAATGCTAGGGTGATAACAATTATATCTACTAGAAAAAAATCATATTAGCGACGAATAATTAGTGACCACTTTATATCTGTCATTAATTATAGTGATTAGTGATGAATTAGTGACAAATGATAATATCAATCAGTATTTCTTTTAAAAGTTTATAATTTGTAATGGATATGATTTGGTCACTATTATCAGTCACTGAATTGTGACAGATGCTCAAAGTTGTCACAATTTTATAAAACAATCACAAAATTAGTGACTAATAGATAGTAACCTATGGATATCCGTCACTAAGCGTGAAAGTATAATAACAATTAATAATTTATGTTAATATAAAATAGATAATTAATTTAATTGTATTGTTAAAATAAAAAATATTATTAATAAAGATATTAATATTATAAATAGGAAATAAAAATATATTTATGTTAAAATGATTTATTAATAATTGATAAAATTTTCTTTTAAATGTTATAAATATTTTATACCAATTATGATTATTTTTCAGATGCATTTGGATGGGTAAAATATTAGGTTAATTTTACTAATATAATATAATTAAAAAATTAAAATGAAAATAATATAATTTCAGAGTCACCATCAGACTCTAAAACTAAAACCCTTCACTCCTTTGCAATTCTATTTTTACCAAAGTTGTGCTCTTCTCTCGCCCTTCATCTCCAGTGCTTTGCTACTAATGCTTGAAGGACTCAGGTGCACAATGATTTCTCTTTCTCACCTCACTTAGGTATGCTTTGCCTTTGACCCCTTTTGAGCACAATGAATGTTTCTCTTGATTCAATATGAGAGTAGGTTTGAAAAAGGGCTTTCTTAGATAGTCTAGGTTTGGAAAAAAAAAGATTCAGAGCATTTTCCCTTGCCACTTTGTTTTTTGTTTGTATTCTTGCTCTCATTATGATTTTTTTTATTCTCAATTGTTGAATATGCTTGAAGAATAGATTATGTTACTATTAGGACTCCTCTTTTGAGACTATGGGAAGAGATAATAAGATTATTTAATATGTTGCCAAACACTACAATGAACTTTATTCTCCTTGTCTAAAAACTTTTAGCTTTACTTCAGGAGACCTAAATTTATCCAATAACTTGAATGGACCAATATAATAAAGCCATCAAGGAAAGGAATATTTTGACTTTTCTTTGCTTGATTTAAAACAATACCATATCAAGTTGTTTTACTTAATATATTTTTATGGTGCTTAGTTTTGGAGTCTTTTGTTTAGTGGTGTGGGATTTATTGAAATTTAGTTATATGCAGAGGTAGTCAATCACAGGGTCAGGTCAACAAAGGAAATTTTTTTTTTAATGATTTGTATATTAATTTATATGTATTCCAAGGTAAAGGTCATGCATTGCATCTGCAATTGAAAGGCTGACAACTCTTTTTCTTCATTCAAAGCTGAGGTAATTTCTTTGTCATACTTCTATTTCTCTGTTTTTTTCCTTTCTCATTTTCTTACATTTTCATTCCCATTGATTGTAATGCTTAGCTCTAGCTAGTGACCATCAGGGATGGAGAACGAACAATCAAGTGAGAAGGGGTTAAAACCAAAAAGTGTGTGTTTTGGCATATAGTATTCTTGCCTTTAAATTTATGTAATGCTGAAAATGAACAATTAACTGTCAAGCTTTTTGTCCTCCTTGCTACAGCTAAAAATTAATTATATGCTTCTAATTATATTATATTCATGTCTACTTAATCATAGCTTTTCCTTTTTTGATTAATTATATTCACCATATGCTTCTAACTTGATTTCTTTCTTTCTTTGTTCTTTTCTTTTTTGTAGTCATTTGAAGTACATTGTTACAAATTTTGCAGCTTCACATAACTTCATTATTGTCAAGTAAGCCTAATTAATTAAGTTACCAAATCACATATGCAAGCAATTTTCAGTG